CGGCGGCTGTTCGGCTCTGGATCCCTCTGCGCGGGCTGAGTGCTGGTCAGGAGGAGGCTTCGTTTTGCTCTCTTCGCAAGCGGAGACTGGAAGCCGGTCCCGGAGGAATATGGGGCGCGCGTGGATCCTGCTTACCTTGGGCTTGGTGGCCTGCGTATCGGCGGAGTCGGTGAGTGGGCCGGGCAGCGGGCGCGAGACAGCTAGGGTGTCCCGGGCCACGAGAGCAGCTTGCAGGGTACCGGGGAGCGCCACGCGGGGGACCCCCTTGCCCAGACGCCGCTCTTGGCCTCGGGGATCTGCTGGGCAAACGCACTCGCTTCTCTACCCTTTCTCCCCCGAACTGTTAACCCTTTCCTGCAGAAAAGCGTTAATTGCAGGCGTCTCGGGGGATGGGTCACAGCCTCGTAGTGTCATCAGCCAGCAGAGGCCCCGAACTCACTCCCAACTTCGTCACCCTCGGGGGATCTCGCTGCCTGGTGAGGGAAGGACGGAGGAGAAAGCGTGCCCGCGAGGGATCGAGTGTACTTCGCGAATCCCAGGGGTGATCTGCAAACTTTGGGGACCGTCTCCCCAGTCCAGCTTCTCAGTCGGACTGAATGGAAGTTCTGTGGAGACTGGTGTCCAGATTTAAGAAACCCTCGAGCGTTCGGAAAGGAAAGTTTGGAAAAGTTTCTTTTGTTTCATGCGCCCTGTGGCGGGGGCGAGGTTCCGACCCTACGTAGAAAAGAGGCCCGCGGTGCCGCAGGGGACTTGGGGACCTGCGGGTCGCGTCGGAGAGTGCGGAGGCGCGGCGGGCCGCTGGAGCCGGGTTTTCGGGGACCTCTCCCTGTGGAGGGCTGCAGAGCAGCCGGAACCTCCCGGGCTGGGGACATTATAACCCGGGTTGATCTGCAGTGCCGCAAGCCGAGCAGGTCGGTCGCGCGGGCCATCGCTCGCTGCATCGGGTCGCCGGGCGTTCCGGGACCCGGGCTTTGCTCTGCCACGCGCGCGCTCTCGGCCTCGGCGGAGGAGTCTCGGCACCCCGCATCCCTCCCCAGCCCTGGAGGTGCGAACTGATTGCTCCTGAGGGTCGCGTTTCAGGGGTTGGAGCTTGTTTTCCTACGTCGCCCAATGAGCGCCCTCTAATGGGAATTGCCTCCCCGGCGTCCGCGGGCGTCCCTGCCTGGGAGTTCAGTCCCTTAGGGTCCGGTCCGATCCGCAGTATCGGTGACGCCCGCAGCGTTAGTCTCTGCCTTTTCTAATTTCCCGAGGTTGATCTTTCTGCCACCCAATAACCTGTCCATTTCTAACTAATTTTTCTGAGACAGAATATCACGCACCATTTCTAATAGGTTTTGTGACCCCCCCCCCATTGGGCTGAGGCAGTTTGGGACAGGGAAACTTGTTTCGCTCCCAGCATTTGTGATCAGGGTGGTAGCTTCTTTGTGGTAGCAGGTCCGCAAACGTTCCGGTGGGTTGGAGCACACAGAATTGGAAACTGTGCAGTATAGATGAGTATTTGAGTTCTCAGGTTGTAAAATACAACTCCGAGCCTTATCAGTATTTTTCACTGGCAAATGATGGTTCGATCCTTTGGGATTAGCAGTCTTCCAACCAGTTATGAACTTTGGCCCATTGTACACTAAAAGGGAGCGATTGTGTGTTTATTTCGGGGAAAAAAAATCATTTCTCTTGTTGCAAAGCAGGGCAAAGGGACAACTTCATCTAATGATTTTCAATAAAAACTGTCTAAAATGCTGTTTAGTTTTAGTAGGATTTTTTTTTTTCTTTTTAAAAGACTAACACCGTCCAGGGGTTTTCTAAGAAATGTTACTGTTTTGGGATTCTAGAGAAAGAACCCCCCCCCTGCCCGTTTTGCATAAGCATGACAGCGCTCCGTAAGGAATTAAGAATTAGCTGAACTATGCTTGTTCTCCCCTGTGACAGCTTTGCCCTGTAGTCTGAATCTTCTTTGGGTGTCTAACATTTCTCAATTCGAGCCAGAATTGGATGTTTTCTGAGTGAATGGCTTTATTGCAGTAGGCACTGTTTTCAGCCATTGGAGGATCCTCCAAAAGGGCGATGAGATATTTTTAAAATGTCAACTCGGAGACTCGCTAGAGTCTCTCTGTTAGGCAGTGAGTCAGTCTTTCTCCGTGGAAGCTGTTTCAAAGCCTGGAATGGCTAATACATCATTTAAATTACTTCCCAGGCTCTATTTGCTTCACGTGTTGCAGCGTAAATATAAATACACGGACTTGAAAGACTTAATTTTTAGAAGTTTAGTCGTCAGAGAACATTATTCCCTGTGCTCTGCATTTTAATTTGAAAACTGCCACTGTGTCCTGGGATTTAGAAGCGATCCCTTGAGCTGAGAGGCTGTCTTTAAAAGGAAGCAAGGAGAAATGTCTGTAGTTCCTGAGTTCTTGAGTTTTAGACCTGGCTGGGGGTGGGGAGGTTCTCAGGCACTTGGGCTCAAAGCTGACTGTGAAAAGGACCCAGCGGCCCCTCCTGGATGCAGAGAAAGCTTGTGTTCTAGGGACCCATTCATGTTTCTACTGGCAGGTTAGGACTTTCACTGCAGGGACATCTGGCAGAGGAAAAGACTGTACCAGAAGTGACACGCTCCTGTTTTTCTGTCTTTTTCATGACTTTATCTTTAGAAATAGTATATTGAAGGCTGCTGTAAACACATAATTTGAACTAGAGATGTGTATAGGAAAAGGAAGCATTTTGAACCAGTGGGATTTTGTAAACATGCTTAGATGTCTGTATATTAAAAGAAACCGTGTGAAGTCCTTCAGAGCCATGCATTACCTCGCAGCACACTATGAAAGGCAAGCTCTTGAAAGTTTGCATTAGAAGGAAAAATAAAATTGAAAATGTAGAACTTTCTGCAGTTCTTTTAAAGCTATATGTTGGCTGTTTTATCTTTATCTTTATTTTTTATCATTGTGGACATAAGTTTAATTATCTGAGATCAGCAGCTGAGAAGATGTAATAAATGAATGGAAACCAGGTTTACAAATTCAGGAGAGAAGTGAGAACTTTTTAGACCAGTTTAGGTTTAGACATTCACCAAATTGTAAGACGTTTTGTCACAGAAAGCAAAGCAATGTAATAAAACTGGTTCCCAGGTCTGTCCAAATTACTTTTTCAGCAGGGTTTAAGTTAATTCCTCATCCATTAATTCATTTATGTATTTGGTGATTGAATCTAGGGCCTTTGCACAGAGCTACGATCCCTGGCCCTCTTTTTTTGGGGGGCGGCAGGGTCTTGCTAAGTTGCCAGGTTGGGCTCAAACTTTTCATCCTTCTACCTCAGCCTACCAGGATACCCGGATTACAGACAGGTAAGTACCACCAAACCCAACTTTTAACATTTCTTTTAATGTCAAACTCTCTTCGTAAAATCTGTTCAAAATACTGTATAAGGCCAGAGATTTAGCTCAGTGGTGCTGCTGATTGCCTCCCAAGCGCAAAGACCTAAGTTTGATACCTTGTACAAAACGAAACAAAACAAAAAATATACTGTATTGCATTTTAGGACTTAATTTATGTCTTTTTCTTTTTTGGTACTAGGAATCCAACTCAGGACCTTGCTCTGTGAGGCATCCTGCAGAACCACTGAGTTAAACCCCTGACCCTAATTCACATGTCTTTAGAGTACCCTAAATTGATGGTCGAGACACCTTACATCTCATGCATTGATGGCGAACCTTTTAGAGATTACAATGGTGCAAACAGCCCTCTGTGGCACCCGTGCCACAGGCTCACCTCTGCTGCCCTAATGGCGAGCATCTTCCCTTGAAAACGTCGAAGTGTCTTTTCAGTAAGTTGTCATTCTCAAGATTTACTGGAGAGGAGCCAGGGGTATGGTTCATGGTAAGAGTGCACACGGGGCTCGAGGTTTGATCTCCCAGTCCTGAAAAAAAGAAAACAAGAGGAAAAGAAATATTCTGAGAAAAAAGTTATTAGTTAAACATCTATAAATTACTCTTTGCTTCTGTTATAATATACTAATTTATCATCTAACCCATAGTAGTCTGTCAGCCGAGGAAGGCTTAGTTTTTCAGACACAGCTGACTACAACCCATAAAGCAAAGCTGACTTGCAAACAGCTTCTCCACTTCTGTATCCACAGCGGTAGCTGAGCACTCGTTCTCTGATCTGTACGCTTTGATGAGTTTTAGCCTCCGCAGAGCTTCCTTCTCCTGCACCTGCTTCACCAGTCTTGCTCTTTCTTCCTTTAATCCTTGTTTGAGATTCTCATTCACAGAGTGCTTTTGGAGAGCACTGTAGAACCTAGTATAAGCGAATTAGATTCGCATGCATTGATATTTTTGAGAGCATTTTCCAAGTATGTGTTTTCACTATCTATGTGTTTAAAATTTTCTTGAAATTCCAAGAAGTTTTCTTCTGTTGAAGATGCTGGATTCTCTGGAAAGTCTTATTTTCTGCATTCTCTATTTTAAGATGTTTAACTACACTGCAACAGGAATTAAATGAAAATCTGTTTACCTTAATCTTTCTTTAATTGTTGCATTATGGGATTTCTATGGCAGGTACTACTGGACGACTTTCTGTCCCCGTATATCACTTTCCAAGAACTATTTGTGCAGGGAAATGGAGGATTTTCACAGGTGGAGCACTAGGTAAAATCACAGCTGAGACTTTCCATACTAGAAGTTCAGTCTTGGTTTACTTCTGACAAAAGTCCACCCGCCTTCCTGCCATTGCAGAAAGCCCACAACCAGGCAGAGACCGCAAGCCTGAGGGGGCAGGCCTGTGATGTCTGGTGCTTGGTCACCTCCTCCAGTGAATGCTCCTGTTGGCTGTTTTAGTGACGAGACAAATTACTTCTGCCAGAGAGTTTGATAGAAACAGGGCTCTTTATCTCTTAGTTGGATATTAGCAGCAGATAGATGTCATTTCAAAAAGAAGCTCTTAGGAAAAATGAGGAGGCTTGCAAGTTGCTGTGTGTTCAAGGAATTTACCTTTCAACTCCTGCTTCTGAGTTGTCATATATCTAGTTGTTAAAATAACTGATAAGCTCTGTGCTGTGTGGGCACCCTGTGATGTTTTGACACGTGTGTCTTGTGTAATGTTCCAATCAGGGTCGTACATGTAGTGTTGTAGTGCCCACCACTCAGAGGGCAGCCTGCCACAGACTGTGTGTGATATGATCACT